CTGACACGGGGAAACCAACACCCCTCCCAGCATCCCCTCAAGGCTGGCCCTCCTCACACCCTCTCCTGGCACCCCTCCTTCCTGCCACTCTGCTCATTCTGCCCTCCTCCTGCCTCTGGCTGCAGCCTCCGCCTCTCCCCCACCTCCACTTCCCTCTCCCTCCTCACCCCCACACCTTTTCAGCTCAGGGGAATCCATCGTTCCTCAGCTCCTGGGGCTCCCAGGGTCCCTGCCACACAGCTCCATCCCAACACTCATCTGCCAGTCCTGGAGGGCACGGGGTGGGGTCTGAGCCCAGGCCGGCTCGTAGACTCTTCTGTTGCCCTGAGTCGTAAGCAGGGTACCCAGAGCAAGTCTGCACAGGATGGGCATGTGACTGTTCCAAGCTGACTGTGTCTGATAAGAAATAACGCCTGGAACAAATACCTTACTGATTCACCCGGACAAAAATAAACTCTGGTTATTCACACCAGCGTTGGCTTTGGGGAACTTTCCTCTATTCGTGCGTGAGCTTGCGTTACTGAGCTTGTGGGGAATTGGGCTTCACCATCACTGCTGAACTTTTAAAGAAAATAAACACTTTGCTGAAATGAATCACTTAGTCAGATATTATCCCAGCTCCTGGATTATGGATCCACAGAGGACACACTGAGTCTCACTGGGAAGAACATCATGTCTGCATGGCAGTTTACAGTGTACAAAGCACCTGAGTGCACACAGCTCTGTGTCCCCGTCCTATAGCCCGCAGGACTAAGGGGAGTCACATTTTAAATTGCTTCGCAGATCTAAATAAAAAAAAAAATAAATTGCTTCGCAGATTTATATTTAAATGATGGATTCTGTATCTTGGTTAATGTAATTTCTTCAGGCATTTTGTTTAGACCATCCTGTCGTCCACCCATGCTGCCAAAGGGGTCTGGGGGTGGTGGGGGGTGTGTCCTCTTTAGTCCAAGACGGACGACTGTCAATTCCTAGCCAGGCATCCAGATAGTCTGAATGGTTTTTCCAATGACAGTCTGATATTTGAGGAGTCAAATTAAAAGCATGTGATGCACCCACCTGACCCATTAAATTAATAATCGTAATTGGCTAAGTCTGTCGTGAACCAGGCCAGATGCAATACTCTCAGGGAGTTGTTCACCCAAGTGAGGTAAATTAGCTTTCAGGGCACTGGGGTCCACGTCAGTAAATTATCTGCTTCTGGGGAACTAAATGGGCCCCCGATGCCCGGGCAGAGCTGATTTGCCACATGGGTGAACAGCATATTCTCAGGGCGCCTCTCGCTCACCTTGGTTCCTCTGTGGTCAGGCCTGACAGACAGGAGCCACGATGCTGACACCCCGCAGAGCACGAGACGGACCCTGGGACGTAGCTCCTGCTGAGCTCCTGGGAGGAAGAGCACGCCCCCCCTTCCAGGCCCCCCAAAAGTTTCAGCCCGCTCTTCAATTTTGTTTCCTCTGCAGAAGTGCTGGCTGGCAGTTGACGGGTGTCCAAGTTGGAGATGTTAAAGTGAGCGTCATTAGGTGGCTTTTATTCTGCCCGCGCCACACAATCCACCACCCCCTGCCCAGGCCGATCCCAGGTACCGGACAACATGGGTCGGCGACCTGCAGCAGGCTGGCCGAGGGGATTAACTCCAGAGGTGCCTTTCGCTTAATTGACAATTGCTTCTTTCTACTCAGCTGAGGATCAAAACCGCGCACTGCTTCAAACGGATCCCAAGCCCAGTGGCGGAGTGCTACCGGAAAGTTCCACGCAGGTCGGCCCTTCGGCTGAGGGCTTGGGGATGGTCTTCTGGTAGCTTCAGGTGGCTGTTGGAAAGTGCTCTCCTCCAGAGGGGACCATGACATCCAGGTTCAAGGTCAAAAGTAAGACTTCAAGACAGGTGTTCTGAGGACATTTCACGCCTTTGCTGTATCCCTGGGGCATCCATCCCAAAACTGTGTGCTGACCTCGGCCTGCAGCGCGACCTCACAGGCCCGCACACCGGCAAAGTGCTCAGCTGGACCCTCACCGTGAGAACCAACGGCCCGGGGACTCCTGAGTGACCACCACAGTGGCCACCAAGGACAGGCTGCCCACACATGCCCCTCGGCCTGCCTCTCTTCAAAGTCCACGGAGACTCGTTTCTCTCAAAATATCATCCAGTTGATGAAACAGATAAAAAAAAAAAAACTTCTGAAAGCAGGAAGTACATGTTTTGCCCATAAATCTCTAAAAGTTCACAGGGAGGCCTGTTGGCAGTTGGAGCTTTAAAACACAAACCAGCAGGCAAGGGACCCCCTAGTGATGACTGAGACGGCCTGAGGGGGCCCGCCTGAGGGGTCCGCACTGACGGGCGGGGGTCTCTGCCACAGTCTGACTCCGAGAGCACCCATCCGCTTCCAGAACCTCTCATTCCCGACCAACCCTGGGAGGCCTGCCCGCTCAGGCCCACGGCACATGTGCAAAGGGGGGTTAAACACTGCTGGCCTGTCTCAAGGGGGAAGACCAGACTCCCACACGGAAGCATAATGAGACCAAGACAGCATTTCTTACTCGTTTTCATTCTTCTAAGTCTTGCAGGAGACAACATACTCTCTCCAAGTATTAAGTGAGGAGCTCGCGTGTTTGTCCCACCAAGTGAAATATGTACTCTCAGTTGTGGAAGCATGACAAGACAAGCTGACCAAGATTTTAAAGATTCAAATACATCCTAGTGCTTGTTAGGAAGCGGGAGGCGAGGTGAGGCCATCGGGGCTGTTCCTGCAAGCACGGTGGGGGCGGGAGGAGGCCGGGCTCTGGCCGGGAGTCTGCTGGGAAGGGGAGAGGCCAGGGCTGAGGCTGTGTATCTGTACTGTAATATAGAGATTAAAAAATGCCAAAGGGAAAGAAAGAAAGGAGAGCACACAGCTGCCGTCCCCCAAACAGACCTCCCATCTGCCACCCACGATTTGCATGTCACCTTCTCCGGGCTCATTTGTACTTCATTAACTGCCATTGACTTAACAAGATTTATGCAAATGACACCATAGGAGCTCCCTAACTCCCACTGCAATCAAGTGATTATGTATGTACAACTCTCCACAGCAATGAAAAATTAATACGTGACAAGCCCACTCGCCGCTGAGCTGGGCCTCTGGCTTTTTTTATTTTTCTTGCTTTGCTTTTTAATTTTTATTCGAACAGACCTTATCTTACTAGTTAAAAAAAAAAAAGAAGGAAAAATAGAACTGTCTGAACTAATTCTCCTCTAAGGCCCCATAAAGGACAAAAAAGGAGAGGTGGGCCCATGTTCTCAAAAAATGAAGTTATTTTGCAGAAAATCAGTCTCATTCTCAATGAGGAATCTTTAACTGGGGCAAAGGGGAAGAGAGAAATCCTCGTCCAGCATGCTCCAGCTAGTTCCCACACTCGGGGAAGAGGTCTCTGTTCTCAAAATGAACAAGCTGCAGAACGTGAGCAAAGCATGGTTAAAATAATCCGCTGGAACACATTCAAACTGGACCAACACGAATCTGGTGGCAGAGCGTGGTGAAGACCACCTTGCTTGTGTCCTAAACCAGCTGCCACAAGATTCCTGTGAGGAGGGGGAAGAAAGAGTCTGCGATGATCAAAAACACCGGCTGGTCCCAAACCCGTCACCATCACCAGCCCCAGGGAGGTTGCCGAGGTTCCAGGAGGGTCTCTCTGCCATGGGGGGACGGGCCGAGGAGCTGGGGTATGGGGCTCCCACGTGCAGACCAAGTCTTGAACGTGGCTGTGAGAGAAGGCCAAGGGCCAGTGCTGGGGAGAAGGGCGGGGTAGCAAACGAAACCGTGGCGGGTTGAGGCGAGCCCTCCCACGCCTGGAGGAGGTGAGCACAGCGGCGTGGTCCCCGGAGAAACGTGTCGCGGCTGGCTGTCTTGGAAGTTTCTTCTACATAGGCAGAAGGTATCTGTCTGAGGTCAGAGCTCACTTGTTTACTTTAAAACACATAACTTCGCTTTCTAAGCTTTCTGAAGGCTTTTCCCCAACCGAGAGCACAGGTGCTGGGGCGAGGGGCTGGCGTCCGGATCTCGGCCCCATCGCTTCCCTAAGTGGCCTGGTCTGGAGTGCTCACCCTGCCGGGGTTTCATTTAAAGCAAGGATATCACAGCCACCTCACCTGTGGCAGTGGGGGGGGGGCTTCGAGGGGATGCTATATGAAAAGCTCTTAACCAATATTAAGCACTCATCTAACTGTTCATTTCCTCGACAACAGGTCTAGCGAGTATCTAGAAAGAACATGGGCTCCTTCCTCTGCAGTCCTGCTCCTCATTTCCGCTGGCTGAAGTCACGGCGCGGGGAGGGTTGGAATTCAGACTGTCTCTAATTATCTCAGATCCTTTACAAATACGGCACACACAGGCATGTGATATAAATCTGCAGGACTGTCTATAAATTCACATCAATCCCTGCGACCCACAGAAAGGCTCCAACAAAGGTGCCCTGAGCATGACTAATTGGAAAATCCAGTTTTGCTGGAATTTAAAAAAAATTCTCTCTGGAATCTCCATATCCGGTGTTTCAAGGGACTCTGATTATCATCCAGGGCCCATTTCACAGATGGGGAATCTGAGGCCTGGAAGGTTCTGCCATGGGGGACTCTGATCCGACAGGTGTGCACTTCTTGGAAGGAGTCTGCCCGTGGCTGCACGTGGCGGGCAGCCACGAGGGACAAGAATCTGAGCATGCTCCTGAACCACGACTCATCGGGAAACCAGACCATGATTTAGATTTCATCGAGATTATTTTGAACATTCACAATTGAAAGGCTTCCAAAGACTGGATAATACTCATTTTACGCTTGATGGTCAACTCCAATCAACACACATACTGAAAACCTAGTCTGTATGGCAGGCCCCCGCTGCAGATGAGCAGGGTACAAATTGAGTGAAGGTTCCAATTACGCCAGGGGCCTGCCCAGCCCGTGTGTAGGGCAGCACCCCCCAATCGACAATAGGCATGAATCAAGGAAATGGTCAAGAATTAAGTTTTAATATTCCCAAAAGGAAATGTCCCAGGACCAATTTTTTAAATGAGAGAAAAGGAGTTAAATCATTTTCATAATTCTTTCTAGCTGAAACAGAATCAATAGAAAAATCACACATTAAAATCACCTCCTGTAGACAGCTCGGTGTATAAATAAAGGCACACAAAGAAAAGAATAAGCAACGACGTGTGTGGACTTCGACAGTAACAAAACCATTTTAGAGCAAAGACGTCACCCCCCAGCAAAGAGGAGGGAAGAGGATTTTTCTCAATGGCACCAGGAGCCAGTCCGCAAGTTGGTGGCCTGGGATCTGAATGTTTCTGGAGCCCCTGCTCGGGCCCTGTCCAATCTGTTCCCGTCCGTCCATGCTGAAACTGCCCAGCCCCGGCTAACGCCGCCTTCCTGCCGGTTCCAGATGGGTGAAGTTGTATTTGGGCACCGGCGCCAGCCTCTGTAAGGGCGGCCGGAGCCAACCAGAGTTGCGGAAGGGCACGGGAAACTGGGTACCTGCCTGCAGAAGAGGGTGGCAGAGAGCAATCACCCAGAGGGACAAACTGGTCACAGCCCTGTTCTTAAGAGGCAGAGCTATTCTCCTGCCCGCAGATTTTTTTCCCCCCTTTCTCAAGCAGAATGCACTCTAAATCAACTGGACTTCTTTCACAAAGTAAAAGATGCTATTTCCAGGAGCCACAGTGCTGGGTCGAAGTCTTTATTTTTATTTTCCTTGGAACTATAATAGCAAAATATGTCACGTGAATTCCCATTTTACTTGAGACATAAAGTAATTTGGTATCCGGTTTCTGGGCTAATGAAAACCTATTCCAGGCTAGCAACATAGGCCAAAACAAATGCTTGAATTCAGGTCCTGTTGTGTAATGAGGAAGTTTAATTAAGGCCCCACATTACAGCTGTAAATGTTCCTTTATATAATAAGGTCTAAATGAAACCGAACCTAATCAAAGTTACAATTCCTTCATTAGCAAATTACAAACAAGAGTGCGCAGCTGACACACCGGCTATGATTATCACAACTAATTGCCTCGTTGTTACAAACCAGCCTGAAACAGTGTTCAGATGTCCGTCTGCGAGAGCAAATTAGGGCCACATCGGGCTATTCCTGTGATCACAAGGGGCTCTTGTACGGTGATCTGATTTACCCCTGTCGACTGGCGGCAGCGGCCCAATCAAAGCCGAGCTACAAAGGCAGCCTTTGAAGCCAGCTCAGCCTCGAAACACACTCCATATGCAGCGGGCAGACTGCACTTCATTAGATCTGTTGTCACATTTTTCCCTCTTCTTATTCTAATGATCCTATTTTAATACACACAGGAACCTCTTCTAATTGATGTCAAGTGAGTGACTTCTACATTCATCAACAGAGCACATCAAACAAACCTTGGTGCACGAGCCAGCATCATAGCAAGGAGAGACCTGAGGTGTGTCTCCAGCTCCAGGAAGGGAAAAAAGGGGAAAGCAGCGTACCTGTTTAATTGGGATGGCTCGACCGCTCCCGATGCTGTCCGCGCGGCTCTCCAGGCCTTTCTTCTCTTTGTCTGGGTCACTCCCTTTCCGAGACTGCAAAGCAAAAATAAAGTTAGCGTCTGGGTAAGGGCTGCGGCTCATGGATCTGCAGGCCTGCCCTCATCCGGACAGTGTCTGTGAATCCCTACCCGGGCAGTGTCTACGAATCCCTACCCAGAAGCCATGGATGATGCAGGCGCGTGCACATGCACACACCCGAGAAGCGAGCTGTCGAGTACTTCGTTCCACTGACCCATCGTTTTACGGAGAATTCTCTAAACTTTTCCCCCTACTTTTCCTCCGCAAAATTACCTTTTAGTTCTTTTTTTTACAGAGCTCAAAATTCAATCACTAGAAACCAATGGACCATATAGGAAAGTAACGCCCAACAGGAAAGCGCATTCTCAGGCTGCAGCTAATCCAGCCGAGGAGAAAAGGCCTCTTTTGCGGCTTGTTGGGGAAACCTACCCCATAAAGGTGTGTGTTGAGTTAACGTCTAAAGGATTTTTAAATTCTATGATGACAGAGAGGAGCAATTTAACCGTGCACTCTTCATTCGTATCAAGGTGCCGTGAACATTGTTTTTCTTTTTTTAAGTGCTTCTGGATGGTTAGAGTCAAACTAGTGTTAACCACACCACAAAAAAATAACAAAGGGGAAAAAAGTTGAAAAATCTCTTTTTTGACAACACAACAGTACTTGGGGGAAAATGAGCAGCTCCGTCTGCCAAGTTCGCAGAACAGTCTTCTAGGCAGTGTTGTTGACATTGTGTGACCTGCCCAGGGGCGAGCACGTGCCACCCAGGGAAGCCACGACCCAGAGCGCACGGCGACTTCAGGAAGCGGAAGGAGCACCCCAGCTCAGTCTCCATCTCTGGATGGCATGAGGAAGTGTGAGCACAATGATTTTCTGACAGATTTATTTTATTATGAGAGAAAGATCTGAAACTCGTCCTCCTTAATAACTGTGCTGACAAGTGACAACTTCACTCCATTACTTTTCATTGGGAACATTACTCACGCAATATTGAAAATGGAGAAATATTTTCATGTGCTTTTCAAATCTGAGATGATATATGAAATGCACAGACGTCGTGGTGTCCGGTGCTGCAGTGAAGAGCTAATGAAATCCAGTTTCAAAGGGGTGTGAGACGGAGCAGCCGGTTTTTCTTTCTTTTTTTTTTAATATTAAAAGGGGCAGCGTCACCGGGTGTGAGAGAGAAAAGTCCCCATGATGTAAACTCAGATGTGGCACTTCAAGGAGCACGTATGCTCATTAGGCAACAGGCGCCTTTGATGAGTGTGAGAGCCAACATTTACTGAACACCTACTATGTGTTAGGCACTGTGCACTTTTTTTCTTGAGGTGGCAGAAAAGCCTGGAACGAGGTAATGGGAAATGAAAAAGCAACAAACCGAAAGTTGCAGAAAAATGTAAGGCAGAGTTTGTCCGTCTGGGCTGGGAGGAAACGGGAGGTACTGATTCCTTGTCATGAATTTCAGCTACAGGGTAGGGGCTCACTTTTCTCTTTAATTAATTCTTTAATTAATAATGTTCAGTCAGAGCTACGCAATAGCCCTCAATTCTCTTTTTGCCATATCTTACTGCAAATGGGCACCTGAGGTTTCCTTTTGTAAAAGAAGACTCAAGCCTCCCAATAATATAAAAAAAAATTTTTTTTTAATTAACACAGATCATTAATAGGACTCTGGGAATTTGATGAATTCCAAATTTCCCAAATTTGAAAATCCACCTTCATTATGCTCTGTTAACCAGAATAATTAACAAAACAAACATAAAAAAATGAACATCTTCCTCAAGGCAGCACATCTGTCCCCCAGTCCCTCTGTTCTCTGAGCAGGACTCCCAGATTCCAGGGGAGCAGGCTGCCGCAGAGCCCACCTCTGTCTGTCCACACACGCTGCCTGAAAGTTAGGAAGACTTCACCGCCGAAGTGGCACAGAAATTCCCTGACGACTCTAAGTTTGGGCCAGCTGCTGGGCAGAGGCCCGCCACACCCCCGCCCCTCGATTACTTCTCCCCGCGCCCCAGGCTGCGGTGCCCAACAACCACACCAAGACAAACCCCTGGACAGGAAACGCCGCGGCACACAGGGATCTGCAGTGGGGTCTCCCGAGTCTTCCGGCAGCCCGGAGACCGCATCGCCCACGGCACATGCCACGGCTCTGCTGAAACCGCTCCGTGGAATCCTCCCGCACGCAGCGGCGCTGGGCAGCAGCTGCGTGGGGCACGAGTGACAGTGCGCGGGGACCAGCCAGACACGCGCGACTGGAAGCTACCAAGGGTGGACCACGCTCAGCGCAGGGGTCAGCGGCGAGCCAGGGGAGAGATGGCGACCCTCGCCAGCCCCGGATACGGAAGAAAGAACGGTTAAAGTCAGCCTCGTTATCACCTCCTCCTTTGCACGAATGTTTACCTTCTCCCACGTGACACAAGAAGCCACGGAGGGACACATCGTCAACTACCTGCGTATGGGGGCAGGAAGCCACGCTGCCAGGAGCCCGCACTATCACACAGAAGCCTGCCTTCCCCCTTCAACTCCCGGCGAGCCTTCAACTCGGACACCCTGTGGCAGGACCCGCGCTCTCCTCCACAACAGACAAAACACAGACGGTGCGGTGCATACCATCAGCTTTGCTGCCTTGTTTTTACGGTGGGCTTCTAGGGCTCTTTGCACAGGGTGCTTACTGGGTATGCTTGGCTCTGTTTACTGGGATTGGCGGGCATGACGGGGGGGAGCTTCTCAAAGGATCATGTAAATGACACTGCTTTTTTAAAGTCTGAAAAGAAGGCGGTGCCCAGTGACTAGAGTAAGCTTAAGATGGGCAGATGGATGACAAACACCAGATTCAAGGTGATACTGATCCTCAGGCAGGGAGCCGGGCAGGGGAGGGGGGGATGCATATGTTTAGGAGGCACACCTGGAGGGCTTCGACTTTTACCCAAGATGTGTTATTTCTTAGCAGCAGCAGTAGCTGCGGCAAAATGCGTGCGTTTGATGAGCCCCATGTAAGTACGTGCCTGTGTTTTTTATTCCTGTCTCTTCATGAAAATATTTTCTAATAAAACCATTTAACCACGTGTACATTAGGACAACTACACTAAATTAACTGTCCTAAGAACCCACACTACAAAACCAAAAAGGATGTAGCTTTTTAATACTTTTCTCAAAACAATGATTTTTTTCAAAGAAATGAGCAAAATAAGATAGAATTCAGATTTTGATTAATTCCTACTGCAAATAGAACATAATTTGCTACTACGGGAGCAATTTGAAGTTTATTCTAATTTGTGAAGAGTGCATGTGATTTTTGTCTAAAAATGTGCATATATGCAAATAAACATCTGGGACTGCAAAACGTGAGCCCAGAATGGTACATTACAGGTCTATTTTATAAAATTTATAAGTGCAGTATTTGAAAAATGATGTGTGTACTACTTAATTAACTCTGGCCTCTTTATGACGGTCTAATAAATAAGGTGGATAGTGCTCCTTCATCTGGGTGTTACAGTCCCAGTCTGCATGGATTTTTTACTAAGATTGTTCAGCCTAGAGCACATCTGTCCTCCTACTAGACGCTTTTGAATAAATACACGTTTCCCCAATTTAAGCCAATAATTACCAACAATTGCCAGGGATGAAGAGTCGACGAATTTTACATATTTAAGAATAGGTGCAAACTGGAAATAATGAGAATTTAGTTTCTTAATTGCTACAATCTCAAAACTAATTTGCCTCTTCTCATTCCTTGGATGACACTGACATCTAGTGGAGTTCCTATTTCTAAGATCTTGAACTTAAAAATACCCACATGTCACCATCAACATCACCACCACTGTTTTGTTCAACGTCAAGCCCAGCAGTGACCCACATTTGGGTCCCGCCCTGGGATTTTAGCCTTCTTCCTTAAATGCCATGATGCAAACCCACTGTAGTGTTTGCTTCTTTCATAGCCCCAAATTTCTATTCCCTTTAAGAACGGCTGCACGGCTGGACTCAATTCTAAAATGCTTTACTCTCAAGCTGTTTTCCAACATTGAAAGAGAAAGAGAGTAAGCAGTGACAATGCACACGTTCACGGGGGGGTTTTTGCATTATTAGACACATTAATCACATAATTAATGGGGATTTTCAGTGACCGTAAGGATGAGTTTTTATTGGCTCTGCACCTACCCCGCCCGGCCCGGGCTACTGGGGGTCCCGGGCTCTTCTCGGATGCCTGCCCGCCACACACGCACCCATGCTTGGCCTGGAGAAGCCGGGGGAGGGGGAGCCCTTATGCCTCACTTCCATCCTCTTGCCCCTCCTTCTTCTCCAAAACACTTTGTCTTGAATATGGGTTGACTCTGGTAAGAACTACTCCTGACAAACAAGAAAACGTCTCCACAGACAGCAGTGGGGAGATATTTATTAACAGAGTTACTATTATTTTTGATTCTTCTTGCCTTAAAGTTTCTCCTTGGTATGCAACCTGGGTTGTCATGGTTACCTAGTGGGCAGGGTCCAGGATAATGTTTTCTGGCACATTCCAATTCCAGAGCCACTTTATAAAGAGTAGGAATGGCTATGTGCTGCAGCTCTTTCCAAACAGCCCTATTTTTAAAGAGACTTCCTGGCTTCTCACCTCTTCCTCAGAATAGAAACCAAAAGCTGATGACCAGTACATGCGGCCCCTGGCAGGTGTGGTGAGCCTGCATGTTCTTTCTCCCTGCCAGGCCCTAACAGGTGTGGCAAAGATAAAGACGGCTCCTGGTCCATGTCGGGAGCCCTCCCTCCTCCCCAGTACGCTGGTGTCCTGCTCACCGCCAACCATCTCCGCGCCTCCGGGAGTCAGTTCCCCAGGTCGGCGAGTCACGAGTGAGCTTGCAGCCCGTTCTGCGGGTCACACCCGCCCAGCCGCAAGGCCCGGCCTGGGTGCACACAAGCGCGGCCAGTGTTGGGCGAGCTGGGAGCTGCTGCTACTCTTGGTGTGAATCATTTCACAAGAAAGCCTCTTACATCAGGTACCAGTTTATAACCACATCACGCACTCCCCTGCGTTTTTTAGCAAGCTGAACACCTCCCTCCCAGTGGGTCACACGGTCCTACAACTGCTTTTGCTTATTAGCACGGTCAGAAATCCTTTCCATGGTCGCAACGGTGGTGACACAAAATTGAAATCCATGCCACAAAGACCCTTCACCCCCACGGGGGATTCTTCCAGCAGCACCACACAGAGAATGCTGCCGTTTCCGGCCCAGAGAGGCTAAGCAACTTGGAGGCTGGGGTCTGGGTCTGGTCTGTCTGCTCTGCACCCCCAGCAGCAGCGTCCGTCTGACCCGACGTGGCAGAGGACAGTCAGCAAAGGAAAGGGACGGTCCGCAGGCAGCAGATCTTGGCAATTACGACTCTCCAATGGGAAAACTGCCTCGAACACGGTAGGAACGGCGTGGGGCTCTACTGCGCTTGGCAGCCGCAGACCACCTCAGGGATGCCATCTCCAAATAAGGCAGCAGGTCAGCTGAGGCTCCCAGTCACCCCTGCAGAGCCCTCCCTTAGTTCAACACAGGAAATCCTGGACTCATCTGCATCTGAGTCAGCGGTAATCACTCCAAAGTGGAAGTCCAATGGTTTAAAACAGGGCACGACATGACTGTGCTGCACTGCTGACCTCAGCTTGTAGGGTATTTAGCGGCACCCCCAGTTGCTACCCATGACTCAACCTGGCTCCCAGCTGTAACAACTCAGAATTTCTCCAAAAACTGCCAGGCGTCCCCAGGGAGCAAAAGCACTGGTTGAAAAGCAAATCCTTGTAATGCACAGGCCTGGTCCCAGGAGGGAAAACGTTCCTCTGAGGTCAAACGACTCCAGTCACAGGCCAGCAGTCCTGCCTGCAGCTCTGGGCTCAGCGCAGAGCGTCTCGTGGTTGATTAGTAATGTCTGCTGGGTGCAGAGGAAGGGATGCGGTCAGAGCACTTTTGCCTCACTAGTTTAGGGGTTCTCTGCATCCCCAATTGCCCAGGGAGCTTTTAAAAACTACACATGCCTGGGGCCCATGTATAGATTCTGAGTTCATAAACCTAAGCCCAGGGAGAGGACCTACAGGTTTAAAATGCTCCATAAACGACTCTGAAGAAAAGTCCAGTGGAGAGCCCCGTGTCGAGGAGCGTCTGAGAAACACTGAAGGCTCCTGGTGCCAAGCCCACCCTCCCCCCTCTCCGTGATAAATCCTCAGGCGCCCCAGCCCGAGAAGAGGGGGGTCCGTGCACCGAAGCGGCTGATGCCTCCCATGGGGAGGGTTAGGGGCACACATCTGGGAATTCTGGCACAGTTTTGTAATCTTGGACCCAGAGTAACAAGACTGTCGCTAGAGACCGGGACAATCACGAGATAATAAATACCTTCGTAAGGCCCTCACTCTTCATTCTGACACACGTATCTGGACTCCCTGCGCACAGAGAAATTCACGTTTTCCTCAGTGCCCACACCTTTGCTTCTCAGAGTTTTGTTAGACTTCCACAGAAGTCAGGGCTATTCTCGTTAACTGAATCTGGATTCTACAAGTAACACTAAACCATCTGGCAACGAGTACATGGACAGTGCCTGAAATTCTCCCGAAACCACTCAGATTTCTTCCGGGGAAGACACTCACGGTGAAAAGGTTGGAGCGGCGCTTGGACTGCTTCCGGACAGGTGTTGGCGTGTTGGCAGTGGGAGGGACGTCGATTCGCAGCTCCTTCTGGCTGGTGCTTGGCGTCGATGGGACGGAGGAGGAGTAGTCGCTTAAGCTCCCGCCTCCGTTACTGGTCTGAAACGATGGAAAACCAAGGTTTTATTAACGATACACCCCAGAAACCTGATGCCACCACCTCTGCGGGGTCATAAGTGACAAGTTAGCAAGTCACACTGAAGAGAGGCCCGCAGGACAGGTCGGGTAGCTTCTCTGACTTGGCTAGTTGATTAGCTCAAGCAGAACATGGCCTCATTCGAGAACATACCAATCATCTCGTAAAGTTGACTTGAGAAAGAGAGGTCTCTCATTTGATTTAAAAATTGGGGGGAGGGAGTTAAAATGTAATTATGTTCTATTTCTTCTGAAAAATTCAGGGGTTGGCTGAACTAAATGGGCTCTAAGGCCCCCTCACGGCTCTAGATTGGATGAGGAAAGAGTGCTGTTTGTCTCAACAGAACCTAATGCACACTCTGAAAATCTGAATACTTTTGAAGACATTTAAAGGTTCACAGAAAATGAGATGCCTATAGGGGAGACATCCACATCCTTGCGTCTACCTTCACAGGCCCCTACCGGAAATGCCATCACTTACTGACCTCCCCAAGGAAAATGGAAGCGCCATACCAAACTTTCTTGCTGTAGCCTTTTAAAAAGTCCAATATAACGCCTGCCTGAGAAATGTTAATTAAAAACACACACTCAGGCAAACCAAGTCAATGGTTTCCTTAGCAGGCTGTGGGTTTGGTTCCTTAAAGTGACAATTATTTTGTTTGCTTCCAAGTAAATAATTTGCCAGACTATTACTCTGGAAAGATGTAACCTAAGGGAGATGGTAATTATACTTGAGGGCTGCTACCAAATTTAAGCATACAGTGGGAGTAGCCGCTGAGGTTTACCCACAACCATTCAACCCCTGAGCAGACCCGAACCAGGACCGACGCAGGGTAATATAAATCAACAGCAAAGACAGTGGTGCACACCTCGAGCCTCTGCCCAAACCAGCATGCCTCATAACCCAGGCAGCATGAAGACGGAAACACTGAAGAATGATTCCCATAAAATCCACTTGGCTACAGCAGTTTCTCAAGGAAATGTGAAGTCAATTACCAACATGCTGTTATTTATAAAGTTGAAAAGAAAAAAAAAAAGAGATCCAGCTTAGAACTGGCTGAGGGCACCCTTGGGAGCGGCCTGCCCCGGATCTGCCCTGCCGTTCCACCCCACGTACCTGGCTTATGTGAACGGCGGACACCTGGGCAGAACACACAGACGAGTGGCTGGGGGAGTTGGGCAGCGACTTGCAGGGCCCGATGGACAGCTGCTGCTTCTTCCTTGTGGCCACAATCTTCTGGGCAACTAGTGGACGGGAGACAAAAGGGATCCATGTGAGGCTGGTTCCAAATACAGGGAATGTGGCAGAGACTGCTAGCTGTCCCCCGGTCCACTACTCCCTTCCTCCACAGTAACAGAGCTCCTGACTCTGGGCTGGGCACAGGACCACCAGAATAAACATGGCATTTCCCGGAGCCGCCTCCACCTTGTTCTCCTGCCCCCCGGCTAAGTGCGGCCATGCAGGCGAGCGCTGCCTGGGGGGATGCCAGTCGAGGGCTCACGTGGCAGTTTCCAGGAATCTTCCCGGAGAGGGCCCTTGGCCCATTTCTTCCTTCCACCTTTTCCTTTCTTGCTGCTGGAAAGGCACAGGTGTGAGCCGCGCCTCTGCAGCTGTGTTGGGGACAGAAGCCACACGGGGTGGGGCACACGCAGGAAGGAGCGGCCCTCCGGCTCCACCAACGGCCTCCGCAGCCCTGCCCAGACCACCTCAGAAGCCTTGACCATCAAACAAAACAAAAATACACACCTGTCCTGTTCAAATTATTCTAACGTTATGATTTTTTCCAGTTACTTGCAGCAAAAATAATCCGAAATGAGATACGGTAATTTACCCAACCCCCTCCCCCTTGAAAATCAAAAATCTATCTTTTGCACAGCCTAAAGAATTACTCTTAACTTTATAAGCTGCTGCATAGAATTATAGCCAAGGACATGTAATTATAACAAAGACTTTATTTAAATATATTACTACACACATTGGAAGTTTATCTTAATCAATACAAATCTAAATTCAACCAGCCATAACTTCTCTTGGCAAATGGGCTCGCTGATAAAGCACGCTGGATTTAATTGGAAAGGAAGTCCACAATAAGAAAACTCTTCCCACACCAATAGGTGTCACTGCAGAAGGACTGCAGCTTTTGTCTGAAGAGATGTGTGTCTCTGGGGACCAGCTGTAATGAAGTTCAACAGTATTTAATCCTTGTCTTGGTCCCGAGAGCCGCTATTTTAAAGACGGCGTGCAAAGGAACACACCGTTGTCCCCGGAGATAGGCCCTAACACTGAGGCAGTGCACAGTGTCCGCAGTTTCTTTTCCAAATGAACAAAATTTTAATAGGGAACCGGTCTGTCCACAGCTTATGGCTTTCCTATAAATGAATGATCATGTAAATATGATGAAGCGAAAATGCAGGATGTAAAAAATGGCTCTCAGAGATGAAGCGGCAGCTTCATTAGTTATATCCCGCCTCCAATGGGCCTCTGATCCTGAAAGGATGATATCAATTAATTTATCTTCCCGCAGTGTATTGATCACAAGCTTCATCAGCTAATCATGTTTAAATTACAGAGGAATATCGCAGCATTCTGTCATTTCAAAACCATTGGCGTATCGATCTGGGGTCTTTGAAGACGTATATTAGAACATTTTAAAAATCATTATGTGAACTCAGAAATAAAATCTAAGCTCAGATTCCAACAGCTGCAAAACATGGGCCATGCAGGCGAAGTGAAATCCGAAGACCAAAAGTCACGACTGTGGGGGTGACTGCCAATGTACTTCTTCTTTTTATTGAGGGGAGGGAGCGAAATGGGGTTTCTGATTATCAATGCAGAGGCATTTTTGTTTTACTCCCAGCCTCAGAGCTGCTATTCCGCTGGATGACCAGGCTCGCTAGAGTCCTCAAGCTTGCAGAGAGCACCCAGAGCCAGAATGGAACACGGCCAGGCTGTTCGGAGAGTTCTGCAGAAACATCTATAGATGTTTTCTACACGAAGGAGAGACTTGAGAAACTTTCTACGACAAGTCAAATGTGTTATAAAATCCTCATTTTATGAAATTCCAAGTGCAAATGAGCATTCCACCTCTCCTGGTCGGAGGCTGGAGGGAGTGAGCTCATGGCCAAAGAGAACGTTTTTACAGTGAGGCTTCTCCCCGAGCGACAAACAGCTGTACGAAGCATGAGCCGCACATTAAGTACTAAAATTCTAATTGTTCTACCACATTAATTACATAAACCGAAGTGACAATTTCTAAGAACTGTAGCATCTTGCTTTTACTTTATTAGAACTTTTATTCATGTTTGTTCCATTTTCCCATCTCCCCCATAATTTTTGTCTTCCTGACTCGATAAACAATTGGCAAAAGAAAACAATTTACAAATATTTTGTTCTAAAATACATAGACTGCTGGGCTCTGCGCTGGGCATGGAGTCTGCTTAAGAGTCTCTCCCTCCCCCTCTGCCACTCACCCCACTCGCGTTCTCTCTCTCTCTCAAATAAAATAAATACATCTTAAAAACAAAACAAAACATAGACTGCTTTAGAGCCATAGGATAACCCATAAAAGTAGGGGAAAACTTAATGATGAGCAATGAAAGCATGTGACTCAAGAATAAGAACAGCAAGAGGGGAAAGGGAAGACGAAGTGACTGTCTTATAAGGTGTGGCCATCCTCCCCACCAGAGTGAAAAACAGTGTCTCCCCTCCAGTTAACTGCTGCTGTTGTTACTTGCTGAATGCCCCAAGGATGTGACCTGAGGGCTGGCATCTCTGTGTGCCTCACTTCAACACCTTCCAAGATGAATCGTTCAGGTGTGCAAAGGCTAGAATGACCACTGCCTGCTAAGATGATGCCATGGTCCATCCCTCAGATGACCCTGTTAAAGCCAGGGTGAATTCAAAGGAGCCAGGCCCCAGGATAGCTAGGATGGATGGATGGATGGATGGATATAGGGATGGAGGGATGGAGGAAGGGATGGATGGATGGAGGGAGGGAGGGATGGATGGAGGGAGGGATGGAGGGAGGGATGGACGGATGGATGGAGGGATGGATAGATGGATGGAGGGATGGA